ATTAATTCTTATTCATAATAGAATACTATTCTAAAAACTTAAACAAACGGAGCTTATATTATTTATGAAACTTTCAATAATTTTTTGTTATTTAATTAAATCTCAAAAGAGTCAATATCATACTACCTTTGCGTCCAACGAAAAATCGAACTTACGATTGTTAGTGGTGTTCAAAAGTAGTTAACCGCTTTTTTGAACCAAATCGGTTTTTCAGTTCGGAAAAATTCCCAAACCGAAACCAAACCTGTTTAGAGAAAAAACCGATTTTTTTAAAGCGGTTAATCGGTTTTGAATCGGTTTTTTTTTTTTTTAATAAAACTTTTTTAAAAGTTTTTCATAAATTAAATTGTAAATATAAACAATACATATCCAAATAAAAATTAAACATTCATACATATCTATTGACCACTACTAACAATACATTAAAAATTGATATAAATAAAAGTCTGAAATGAATTTTTTTATTTAATATATAATTTTTTTTATTTAATATATATAACCGGTTTCGGTTAATAGTTTTTTATTTTTTTTCAAACCGATAACGGAGTTGAAAATTCGATTTTTTTAATTTTTTGAACCGTAATCGAACTGTTTTTCTCTGCTCGATTTTTATATTTTTTTAAACACTCCTAACACGATTATGGGTTGAGATCATACTAGCACGGTAGCACCTTTGGTTTGTTGCTACCGACTTACTATTGAACTACCCATAAGTGGGTTATTTTAATAAAATTTACTCACCCTTAATAAAACAACTGACATGTGCTCATGAATCCAAGTCTTCAATATAGGGTCACACCTACCATATATTAAATTAAATTAAATGAGACTTCAATTAAAAAATTTGTTGGAAGGCGAATTATTCTCAATTGGAATAACTTTCAAAGCCTTGATTACTACACCATATATGCTTAGATCTTATCTTCCCCCCACTAACTTACAAAAACTTTAATCTAAAATCCCTTTGAATTTTTGTTTGAAAATTTACCCATAGCGGACACACCGTTTCAGTGATTGGACAAAAAGGGTATTTTGTACATGGATTTAATTTTACTTGTGCAATGTCAAAATTGCCCTTGACCTACTAAATCTTATACTATATTAGCACATATGACACATGTATTGAGTATGGCATATGAGTATGTATAGTCTTGTATAAGTACGAACATAAGTACAAATTCGCTTTTCTTGTATAAGACTTTCAAAAAGAGTATAATATCACGATGCAGGAGTAAAATATTAACAATAGACGCTCTCTTTCTTTTTTATTTTCTTCGTCTTCTTATACACGTGTTAAAATTAGGGGTGTTCGGTTCCAGGTACCTTGCATTTTTTGAAGGAACAGGAACCAGAACTGGAATCGACGATTTCTTGGAATTTGGATACCTATAACCAAAACTTGTAACAACGATTTCGGTTCAGATTTTGGGTACCCTATAAAATTAATGACCCCTCAAAAGTTTTTAAAATGGCAAAAAAAACCCTTAAAAACTTACAAATACCCCCCACCTGAAACTTGTTAACAAAAATAAAATTATAAATTATAAATTACAAACTCTATTACTTTGTAAAGATAGATTCTCAAAAGTCAAACCAACTTACTTTAAATGTCATGAAATATAAATATAAATGTATTCATATTACTTTTTCTATAAAAGTTTTTATTAACTCCCTACTCTTTAATTTTATTTTATATTAGTCTCGGTTCTTGGTTTCGGTTTCTAACTATAAAAACCGGAACCGCACAGTAACAGTTTCAAAAATTTAGAACTGGAACCAAACCTTAGGTATCTGTCGTTTCAATTCTAATCGGTTCTTTTGAATACCTCTAGTTAAAATAGTGATTAAGAGACTAAGATAAAGAACGATAAAGAGAGTGTTTCTAATATTTCTCAACGATGTAAGATTCATCCCAAACTCACTAATTCAAAACCAATCCAAAATTACCATGTATGTTTAAGTCATTAACTCGTTAACCCTTAAACCCTACAAAAGGGCAATTTAGGAAAGAAAAGTTTACCCACCGAATGGAAACAAGCACAACTAAACAAGAGTGAAAAGTGCCCTAACCATTATTATTCACTTCACAAATCCTCTCTCTCTCTTTTTCAAACCCAAAGAAAACAAACATAGAGATAGTGACTTCAAACATTTTTGCTTCAGGGAATCTCTGTGCACATACATAGAGATAATTCACAACAACAATAATTACAACCAATCAATCAAAATCATCCCCTCGTCTTCCTCTTCTCTCTCTCTCTCTCTCTCTCTCTCTCTCTCTAATACTCTCCCTCTCTTCAGTTTGAAGCAAAACCCTCCATGGAGATCCAAAAAAAGCTTCTCAAGTTCAAGTTCCATATATTGTTCACACTCAGTTTCTTGGGTTTGGTGTTCTCTTTAGTGATTTTTGCTCCAAGGGTCTTGACCATTTTGGCTTACTTCTGGCCTCTCTTTCTCTCCACTGCTCTGTTCCTTGTCGCCGTCGTCTTCTTCGGCAAGACCTCACTGCCCGCCTCTGACTCCCATATCGAGCACCACAAAGCCGCCGCCGAAGACATCCTCGGTTACGTTGCCGGCCAAGATCATGCCGTACAACATCCACCTCCAGAAACTAAAGCTGAAGATGAAGTTGAACCAGTTCCTCAAAGCTTCCACCACACACAGAGTGGTAGCTCTAGCTAGGTCAATTTTTTAGTGTAATAATTTCTAACTCTTTTGTTTTTGTTGTCTTTCTAATGTACTGAAGTGTAGAGTATTTTGGGCAGAATAATAAACTTTTTTTTATATATATATATATATTTATTAATTATTTTATTAATTAATTTATTGGTTAGTTTTCAAAATGGGAATTGATAATGAATTGATGATGTTGAAATTAAATTTGTATATACCTTTAAGTGGGGCCTTTGACGTATATTGAATTATTGATGTTGATTATCATGATATTGATATTGACTATGATGAACGGTTGGGTCACATGATAAGCAATTTATTATTTGGTAAGAAATTAATGAAGAATTCTTCATTTGTAAGTAACTTTTAACCTAAAATGACCGTTTTCCATTTATGATCCAAAAATAATTTATAAACACGATAAATCTTTTAGTTCTATTTTTAATTTTTAATATTTGAAAAGACAGGTGAATATATATGATTATTTCACTAGAAAATGAGATTATATATTAGAAAAGAAATTTTAAAAGGGTTTTCAAATTTTTAGAAAAATAATATTACCTTGATTAATCTTCGTGAAATTATCTCACAACTATCTATTGTCATTAATTTTAAGGTAAATCATAGATAAAAATATTATTTTTACAAAAATCTATTATGGTTGTAGGTTCTTGTTCGTCCGGGTTAGCATGGGTGGGTAGGTTTGTAGAAAAATAATTTTGTTAATACCAAAAATACCTATATATGCTTTGAATGGACTAAATTTAATTTATTATTGTAATGATCCACGTAAGCCCTAAAATTCTTTACTATGTATAGATTCCTTAAAAAAATAAAATAAAATAAAATTTAAAATGAATTAAACATTAAAAAATAAGTGTTTAAAATTATAATAATCGTAGGAATTTTCACCTTTGTACTGTGGCTGTGTGCGTCACACATGGAGATGGGTAATAATTAATAAAGTAAAGCAGTGTGTTCAGGTGCTGCCCAATCTATTCTAATACTCTCTGGCGTTGAATTTGGAACGTTGGATACGCTGTGTGGGCCCAGGAGTTGGCAATGATATGATAAATCAGCTGACTTTAATTGATTGTGATCGTACGGTCAACAGTGGACTGATGGGTGAAGTGGGCCACTCTGATGGGTGGCTGGCTGCGATAAAAAGTTCAAGTTGCATGATTGATTGCTTGTCATTTGTTATGGCATGTGGGGACCATTTGTGATGTGAGGACCACACAAGAGCATGTTTCCACTCTCCTTCTGTCGTTAACTAGAAGCCTCTGGTTCTTCAAGAGAAAAATAGCAGTTGCTAATGGGTCAAAGGATAAAGTTTAATGAATAAGGAGGGTTAACTTGTAAGAATATGAAATTTAAGGGACTCAATATCTACATAAATCTAAACTTAATTTAACGAGTAATGTTAGGTCCACAACCTTCTTTCACAACCTCTGATGTGGTAGCTCGTAATTTGTCAACTCGCAAATATATCCCATCTGTTTACTATGGGTCTCACATGTCTATTTGCGGACTAACTAATTACGAGTTATCACGTCAGGGGTTATGAAATTAGGTTGTGGACTTAGCATTAATGTGATTTAACATCTTATTAGCATTAAATGCACCAAATTTTGTGAAAAGTCTAAAGGTAAGGTGCTTCTACAAGGATAGTACTAAAATGGATGACTTCTTGGAAAACCCTAGACTTGTGTTTGCCTGAAAACAATATCGAATCAAAAGGAAGTCTTGTGGGCTAAGTCCAAAGAGATGAGAGGCCCAATAATGGCCCAACAGTCTAATGTAATATATACCAATCCATTGTGGGTGAGAGAGAAGGAAGCACAAAGACAAGGTTTAGAAAGGAACTCAATTTATATCCTCATACAAAGGGACCACCCAAGAGCATGTCTTCACGCTCTTTTTGTCGTTAACTAGAAGCCTCTGGTTCGTCAAGAGAAAAATGGCAGTTTTTAAGGGGTCAAAGGATAAAGTTTAATGAACAAGGAGGGCTAAATTGTAAGAATATGAAATTTAAGGGACAAAATTGATTTCTACATAAATCTAAACTTAATTTAACATCGTATTAGCATTAAATGCACCATATTACTAGAATGGATGACTTCCTGAGAAGCCGTCGTGTTGTGTTTGCCTGAAAACAATATCGAATTGTAAGGAGCCTAGTGGGCTAAGTTCGAAGAGATGAGAGGCCCAATTATGGTCCAACAGTCTGATGTAATATACCAATCCATCGTGGGTGAGGGATCAGAGAAAGTACAAAGACAAGGTTTAGAAAGGAACTCCTTTTATTTCCTCATACAAAGGCTCTTAAACAAAGTTACAAGGAGAATTCAGAAGCAACAAGTAGTACAAACATGATACATTGACAATAAGATGTTGACAATAGTTTTATGTTACAAGAAGATCAAATTCAGCTGTTGGTTTTAGGATTTTGAGCAAGAGTTATGTCTGACGCCGACAATGTTCCCGATTGATCAACATCAAGATCCTCAAACTCCTTCAGTATTGGTGAAATATCTTCTTGGCAAATCTTCCCCATCTCCCTAAGCTTATATATGATGAACTCCGCGGCACTGTGGAAATAACCAGTATGTGTAAATGGGATATGAGAGAGTATAATTCAGAATTGAAAACAGGTGAAATGAGCTTACCTAACATCACCATCATCATCAAGATCGGCTGCCTCCAAATCTATGGCTGTCATTCTCCGATTAAGAACCCAATTGACCAGTTTCTTTTGTCTCTTTAAAGTGTTTAGCTCAGCAATGTGGAGAAAAAACCGACCTAATGATATGGTACTAGTCAGGATCCAAATGATTGCGAAAGAGCGACCCCCTGTAGTTGAGAAGCTCTTGTCACCATAACCTAAAGTTGTGATGGTAGAACAAACACAGTAGAATGCATCGACGAAGTCCATTCCTTCAACTAAGGCGAGGACGACTGTCCCAACGATGATGAGCACCGATATGATGATCAGAAACAAGATGCATTTGTACCTCAGTCCGTTGGTTTCAACCTCTTTTTGCATATCCATTGGACCAAGTTTTTGACGTCTATGTAGGGCCTTAATCAGCAAGATTTCCTGCTTCTCTACCAAATAGTCGGCTGCTTTGCTGAGCATTATACCACCTAGACCCATCCCTGCAAAGACAAAAGCACAGGCGAGTAGTTTCGCAAGGACACTATTAGGCACAAGGTCCCCATACCCCACGGTGGTCATTGTCACAATACAGAAGTAAATAGAATCCACGATTCCATTGGTTTTCTTTCCGGTGATTTGGCTTTTCACACTGTAGAAGCATATGGTTCCTGCACTAAGGTACGCGCCCAAGTATGCAGCCATCCTCAAATAATGTGGATGGGGTTTCCCAAAAATGGATGCAGAGCGTTGAAGGTTGTTTAAGCCAATTTCTGCAGGAAGAAAATCAGCTGTAGGAGCACTTTTACAACGTCGATATCGTCTTATCTTGGAAGTATTTTCATTACTTTTCGGAGGAGTAGGATCGACTAATCCTGAGAGCAATGACCGATTTGTACCGTTGGAGGCCATTAAAGGACCTGCAAATGGTCAGGCACGTCAAAAGTTAAAACTAGCTACATCAGTCAAGATGTTTCAATGCATCTTCCTATAAGTAATATTCGCAGAGCGATTAAATTTAACCTTTAAAATCACGATCACACTTAGCAGGATGCATATAAGTTCATTTATCTACACTTCAAGCATTAAACTCTCTAATTATCAATGTAATTCACTGTCGAGATATCAGCTAAAGCTCTATTTCTGTTCATCTAGTAAAAATACACCACAAATTATATATAAGCGGCGATTCTCTGTAATGAAAAAACTGGTACAATGTGGGAAAAGAACAAATTTTGAACACTCACAAGTGACAATATCTCTGAATTATCCCTTTGAAACAAGGACTGGCCAAATGATTAAATATCCCTCTTGAACAGCATAAAACAACAAGCAAATTGTCTGCTTTGATTGAATAAATGATTAGCTGGGGCTTCTTTTTCAATATTTTTCTATGGAAACATCAACTGAAACAACTACAATGGGACTTAACACGAAAAAAACCTTAACCAAACACAATTCCAACACATGAACGATCTCAACAGTGGTCATCATGATGAACTGATGATGATGATGATTATTATTATTATTCACTTAATTAAATGCATGATAACAACATCAAATTTGCCTCTATAAGCACCAAACAAAAGAACAATAATGGAACTATAACCAAACCAAGTATGCTAGATGGCTTCATAATTAACAAAAAACAAATGGATATCCATAAAAAGAAGTGTTTAACAACAACTCTACCCAGATCTAACTAAAGACTTGTGTAAAAGAGACTGTGTTGTGTATTGTGGCACTTACCAGTTGGAGTAAAGCACCTACTTTTAAACCCAATTTCCAAAGTGCTTTCAGAAGAAGGAATTCAGTGAGCAACTTCCTTGAATTTTCCAGGAAAATTCAGAATTTTTGATCCTTTCTGGATTTCTTGTCCGGTTTTAGTTGTGCAGTTAGCCAAGTTAAGCTTCTATATACTTATATAGAGCTAAAAACTGAGTGTTGTTCTGTGATGTTTTGGACTGACAACATGAAGCTGTTACTTGTTAGAGATACGATCCAAGAAAATTGAACGCTACAGAAAAAGGTAAAAGTTCATCTAAAAAGAATAATTGATCATTTTTTAAATTAATATTTTTATTTATTTTTTAACTATAAACTTCATTGATGAATGTTTGATTAACGATTTATCGGTGTTAAATAGAAATAATTAATACTTAAAATATATAACGTGATATATCAATCTCACTTAAAACTTTCTCGTAACAACTGAATCAGATTCTTACATATGTTATAGATTCTATTCTTACAAATTTGATGCATGATTTTAAAAATTATGAAAATATATATACATAATGTTGTTTTCGTTATAAAATAAATAAGTTATCGATGGTAGACAGAGAGAATATATTTAGTCGGTTGTGCTTTTTCTATTTGTTTGATTGTGAATGTGAAAGGATGATTCATAGCTTGGAATTTTTACAAATCTTGAAAGGGAAAATGAAGTTTGGTAGAAGTTGGATGTCGGCAATTATTGATTTGTGATTTTGATGCAAGAGTTGTTTGTTCATGACCCCATAAGGTTGAGCTATAATGTTGATACAACCTTTCGTATGGGTTGCCATTTCTCCACTTTCCACATTTCATTGATTATTCATGTTTATGTGCATTTATTATTACATGGGTATTGTTGATGTGTGATTTTGATACCAACTAAACGCACGTGTGAAATACTGAGCTGACCCAGAGAACACACACGAATGGAAGTATAAGAATGGATAAAAGATGGAAAACGATGTTTAAAGTTGTTCGGATGCTTAAACAAGCGACTCATACGTCCACTGATATTGTATTAATGTACTGAGGTCAGATCGTGTTCAGCGTGCTGACTTATAAGTGATTACAAAGAGAAAATAAGTAAGCTAGTATAGAGAGAAAATTAGCTAATCCCACAACCGGGAGAGGAGCCATCTATTTGTAGTGGGATGAATTGAGGTAATGATTATTAAATCAGGAAGTGGGTTAGATTTCCATCCAAATCCTTCCTTATGCCCATTATTCACCTGCCCGAGTGATTTACTCGATTCTCGTAGGGATTGGACATGTGGATTACCTCAAGCCTTTCACTATCCTGACGCGCACCTTCTGTACTGGCAGGAGCACTGCTCTTGTGTCAGCGCGCGACGTGGCTGCACCTGAACGACACCTGGACTTACCTAAGATCTGACTACTTGGGTTGACAGAGCTTTGTGTCAGCCCTACTTTTGCAGGCATAACAGGTATGAAAGGAAATTAAATTTCTCAATGTATCCACAGTTGTCAAATCGCATATCATATGTGTATCAAAAATTTAATTTTTTGAATCGTATATCGCCTATCGTATCGTATTGTAGAATACGCCTTTTTCAAAAAAATTAATAAAATAATCAAAATTTTCTAAAAATTATTTTTATTCCTAATATTAATTAAAGAATTTTGTGGTATTATTTTCTTTAATTTATGGTATTACATAATTAAAATTAATCATAAAATTAAGAATCTATATTATTTTCTCTCAACCATTCATATAATTTCTAAGATCAATGTCAATATTTATATCTCCATTTGTATTATTATTATCATGCAAAATGGGAAACACATGTTCCTCTTCATTTTTTTTTTTTTTTTTTTTTATACAAAATGGGTAAATTTGATCGGGTTTTAGTAAACCGTTTTGGGTGACTCACTTCCGACCCAAAACATTTTTTGGGCCTTTGGCCCAAATTGATAAAGTCGTATCGATTTGTATTGATATTTTTAAGGATACAAACGGATACGTATTGTATTGTATGATACATATTAATTTATCAAAAGGTTTATGATACACTCTCTGATACGTATCGTTGGTGACTTGTATCGAATCGTATCATATGATACGTATCAGGTATTGTAGGAGACTAATAACTATAGTGCCCACAACCACAACTTCGTTTTCTAATGTTTGAAACTTGGGGTGTGTTCTATTGACTATTTTGAGATTGTGTTCATACTAAGTTTACAGAAAATCACCCTTGTGTAGCTCAAGTGGCAGGATGAGCTGGGATGTGTGGTTAAGACATACAGTCTCAGGTTTGACTCCCTTTGATTCTCAGGATTTAAGTGGGTAATCATAGCGATGGATGTTGTGTAACTCACCTATAAAGATTAGTCAAAGTGCACGCAAGTTGACTTGGGTACTCTGTTTTTTTTTTTTTAATTTATGGAAAAGAAATAAGGTATAGGAATGGGGATTGGGATATCCAATAGAAGGTTTCGAATTCTAATGGAAGCAACCAACACTGTGTGCCCTGATGGACCGTTTCAAACCAATTCATGTTTTAGGTCTGCATAGATTGTTATGAAACAGATTCATGCAACAAGTAAAGTTTTATCTATATAAAACTAACGATCTACGAGATAATATAAATAGATATGTTGACTGGATACAGGTTAATTTTGGAATTAAAACTAGTTTAGTTAAAATTACATGTTTTTACAAAATATTTAAGGGTTAAATTTAGTATTGAGGTTAATTTTCACAATGGGCCTGATACTGGGCTTAATCAGCCCGTTAGAATTCTCGGCAACGGGCCTCCTGTCCAAGCCAAAATTTCCGCGCCGAGTAAGGACTATAAATACATCCCAATTTTTGAAAACACTGGCACGAAGAAATCAAATTCTAGAAAAAATGGAGGGAAATCGTTCGAGCTCACAGTCACAGCAGAACCGCGATCTGCTTCGAAAAATCAAAGGTCTTAGAAAACAAAATCAGAATTAAAACATGAAAAACACTTTCATTTCATTATATATAAATTTTTTTTTCTGAATTTGTATATATATTACATGAAACACTTGCAGAGTTCACTAGATCAATCGTGAAAGATCTAAGCGAGGAACGATCACCGTTGTTTTCATCAAACGGTTCAGAAACTACTGCACGAGTCTCGATGCAACCTGGTTCGATTACTATTCATTCATTTCAAATTTTAGTTTTTACTATAAGATTATAGTGCATATATTATTGAGGAGGTTTTTCAAGATTAAGATTGAAGCGAAAATCGAGAAGGAATAGTTGTTTATTATTTAGGTGCTGTTTGGAAGTGTTTATACACTGTTAAAGTGTTTTTACATAGTAGATAAAGTAGCTTTTGAGATTAAAAGCACTTTCTAGAAAAGCACTTATGCAGACTTTTTTCTTTAAAAAAAAAAAAAATTGAGTTTAGATTTTTGATCATGATTATATGCAAATTACTAGGTGTCTCAATAGTTAAAATTTATAATTAACTTTTGAGGCGGTGAAGTTGTAATTGATTTTAGCTGCTGTTTGGAAATGCTAATACATTGTCAGAAGTTTTTTTATTTTATATTTTTTTTGAAGTAGACTAATTAGATTAAATTCACTTTTTTGAAAAATACTCTTATGCCATTGTGTGGTTTCCAAGCGCTGCTGTTGATTTATGAAGTGATTGCAGTTCTGTTTTTCAAAGTGCTTTTGTACTCTTAAAAGTATTTTTGTAGAGTAGATAAAGTAGATTTTGACACAAAAGCACTTATGTAAAAAAGCATTTACGTGTATCTGTGTTTCCATGCGCTGCTGTTGCTCTGTGCAGTGCTTGCAGTTCTGATTTTCAAAGGGATGTGATATTCTGACACTGGAGAGACAATGCCACGTGCATAGAATCGGTGAGTTTATTAAGTGTGATTAGCATTAAATAGAGTTTCGCTTGTTTGATCAAGTGATTAACGAGCTTTTGTTGACAAATTCTTGAGGGAATCGAGTTTATTGGTTACTTGATGATTGTTTTTTAGATGTGTTGTTGAGGGTGCTACTGGCCGTTCAACAACTTCTACAAGAACATAGGCATGGCTCAAGAGAAGATATATACTACATGCATCCATCTGTTTTTTCAGGTGAATCTAGATTAATTTCCCGCTTTAAATTCACGCTTCTGCTATAACTTGCATTGTATGAATTATGATTCAGTGACTTGACAAACACTGTGTATTTTTGATCAATTATGATATTAGCAGCGTTTATATGCTGGACTTTGAATGGTCAATGATATCCTCTCATTTCCATAACCCTTGCTTTTCTGGTATATCTGTGATTGTATTGTCTAATATTCTGAATTATGTAGTGTGAGCTATAAAAGTGAAGCTTAAACTTTTGAGATACTATGAACTTGTCGTTTCAAAGATGTCAGAAGTTTCTTTTTAATATTCCTACTCTTCCACTGTTAGTTCTTTTTATTTGGCTATTGAACATCATTTTGTGGACCGAGCAATCAATGACCTATGCATCCTTCTGCAATGCAGTCGCCACAACCTTAATGTGGTTGGTATTTCTATCATGTTCAGAGTTTATTTTCTATCAGTCGCCACAACCTTGTTTTTCTAAGTTAACTGAATCAGGGAAGCATAGCGCATGCAGTACAATGCCTACTCTTTTTAACTAAATTTTGATTTTGTTTTTTTCCTACAACCACCAACCATATATACATGAAAGTCCCATAGATAAAATGTGGCTGCACAGCAATTACTCCTTTCAAAATGTCATCAATTTCCCTAAATTTGGTGATTTGAAGATTGAGTTCTGGTCTAATGGTTGAAAATATACCTTGGGATAGTTCAACGGCAGTTTCCTGCTCCTGCATTTTTCAGTTAATTGTAAAGCTGTAACATTATTTAGAAGGGATTTACTGTGTTTGAGTAATTTACTTTGGTGAACTCCTTATGGCAGTGTCTGTTGGAAAAGGGTGCGTACTTCTTATCAGACAGATCCCTATAAGATGTGAAGATATTCAAACCGAATGCTTTTTTATATAAATAATATATAGATAGTTCAAGTATTTTTAGCATACGATACATTATCTGAACGGTAATTTGGGGATTTTTTTCTGAATTTTGAAAAAAATTTCTTTGTAAAGAGCCCAACCGGGTTCGAACCGGTGACCTCTTGATCTGCAGTCAAATGCTCTACCACTGAGCTATGGACCCTTTTTGTGTCACTTATGATTACTGTTTAAATTAAAATTTTCACGTATCATA